CTCATCTTGCTGAGAACAAGCCTCTGCTCATGTGATACTTGGGTCTGGTTTTAAAAAGCAGTGTTACGGAGGAACAACATCATCAAAAAAAGGCTGGAAGGACACAAGAGCAGGGGGCAGTTCCATTTGAAGTGCACGCAGGCTACGCACCACTGCTTGCTCAGTGTTCTGGTTAACGTTCTTGCTCTGTCTAACCTCATTTCTTTAAGCAGCCACAGAGATTCATATCCACGGAAGAGGGAGGACTGTAACACACCAACTCCCAAATGGGACTCCACAAGCCAACGGTGTAAAAATCAGGAGCCCGTGCAGAGCGCAAAGCCCGCAATGAATGTCTTGAAGGAAGCTAACCGTGGAATATTTAGTTTCACATTTTCCTCCCAGAGCCAGTTCAGTGCAGCGCAGTGTAAACATCATCCATTTTGTAAGGAGGGAGCGGAGGTGAGAAGCGTTCCCAGCAGCAGCCCGGCCAGCCAGCTTCCCTCCCTCCGTGCCACTGGTGTGCTGTGGACTCACTGCTCACCAGGGAGGGCTTGGACATCCCCGGGCAAGAGGAACAAAAATTCATCCAAATATTTTCTCCTGGAAAGAGACAACTTCCCACAGAGCTCTGAGGATATGGCAGAATTCTAATAAGGTATACGATTTATTTACCATGTGCTTGAAAGCAAGCAAGCTCTACAAGAGACACTTGTTATGAATTACTACGCTCTCTCAAGGGACAGTTCTGTTGATAACATGAAGAATGTATTAAACGAGTATCAGAGATTAAAACAATCTGCGTCTGCCAGCTCCAAAACACAAAGACCACTGTCATACACAGAGATAACGCCAGAATATTGGAACAGAAAATCGAGAGAAAAAGTGCCCCCACCTCAGCCTTGGTTATCAGCTTTTTTTTTTTCTCCTTAGGGTGGAGGAAAGAAGTCTCTAGATTGTTCACTTAAACATAATGCAATCAGCTAAACAATGTTGAAGAAGCAGCCCTAAGCTTTGTCTATTCATTCACACCATTTTGTTATCTTTCCTGTTTATCTTAGAGGCACACATAGGACCAGAATGAAGGTTAGTCTTTACAGCATGACAAGTCTACTGGTTTCCTATTTTAGAAGGTAAACAGGCCTTTTTGTGAAACTGAAATGCAGATAACAGAGCTGTGTAACGTTAAGTGTGACATTAGATTGAACGTGAGATTCCTGGACATGGTGGTGGGTCCCCTGGGTGCAGGTCTGCTGGCCAAGTACAAACAGAGCTCAGACGCCATTCAAATTTGTCAAAATCTCTCATTTTGTGTCATTCTTGTAGTGCACAACAATTCTGCCGCTGCAACCTACGTACAGGTTAAAATTAATTAACAAGGAGTAAAAAATGATCAGTTTAACATAGATCGTGAGATTAAGTTCTGGCCATGAATCTGCTTCACCAGATCTTAACAGTGCAAAACTTTTTTTTATTTGTTGGGGTTTTAGCTGAAATGAAAGTAAGATTTTTACAGCTAAGCTTTTTTTAACTTCTTATAAAAGTGGATTTTGAAATGTTTTTACCCGGGAAAAAGAGTCAAAAGCAGGGAACTGTTTAACAGGAAACACAACATCAAGCAAAACAGACCACGGTGAGTTTATCTGGATCTCTAGCGCCACCTGTAGATGACACAAAATACTTCACGCTCAGGAAACCCTGCGTGCAGAGTTCATTTATACCAACCGAGTATATGAAAGTTAATGTTACTTTTTCGTTGCCAAATTGTAGTCCATTTGCACTTACAAGTTTTCAGGCTAAGTACAATTTTCTACACCTAAAAGCTTGCCGAGCAGCAGCTAGTCTACCTATCTCCAAACTTTTATCTTCAGAGTACCCTTTGCAGTAACCTGCAGCCACCAGCTCTAACCCCAGAGCAGCACATTGCCACCAACAGTCCCACTGCCCAGGCACAAGTTTCTTTTCCAGCTGGAACACTGGGAAAGCTCCATCACTGAGGACCCCCGACATGCAACCTCCTCAGTTGGGATACTTAAAGTTTGTACCCACATGGTTTGTAGAAATTAAAATGTGATTATCCTCGAGATCACCAGCTGTCACAAAATCAACCAGCAGGAAGTACTGGGAAGATGGCGTGTGAGCAAGCAGACAGGGAGGCAGACTTACAGTGACAAAACCAAATACGTGAGGCCTGATCAGTTTAGGTTCTTTTGTCTTACAATAAAGGGGAAATACATAATAACTGCTAGTGAAACCTAGATCACCAATGGACTAGTTACTCCTACTCAAAGACCTAGCACAGGTTTTGAAAGCTGACAGCGTAATCTGCTATCACCACTTGTGTCACTCAGTATTAGAATCTGGCAAAAAAAGGAGCTGGAAGAAATCTCCTGCTTGACCCATCTCTGGTTTGATCTTGGTTATAGTGATTACCGTCTACTTTGCTAGACTGGTGTAACTGTGGAGCAATGCTGTTAACCGGACCACGGAGATGACCTGAAGGAGCACCCCTGCCTCTGCAGGTCAAACAGGCTTGAACTTCAACCGCGTGGAAGTTCCCCGGGGTTCGCTCCCCTGCCGCTGCATTGCCCATCAGCACAGGCCACAGCCTGGGCAGCTCAGCTCCTGGGGAGGCGTCTCCTCCTCCCCTGCAGCGCCAGTGCTGCACATGGTCCAGAACCACTGTAAGCTGGGTGAAAAATGTGTATTTACTGTTACAGGACTGAAAGTGCCCCATCTTTCACTACTGTTTACAATAACTATTGGCCCAGTGCCCAGAAACACTGTACGCAGCCTGATGGTATAGATCATGCACATATGTACATGTACATTTGGAGATGGGTTAGAAAAGAAGAATTGCTACTATGCCGCACATTTTAATTCAAAGATAACAAAGTGATCTGTGCTGCTCCAGTGATCATCTGCAACCCAGATATCAGGGACCACATACAATAAGATCATGCACTTACCTGTGATGCCTTTATCTTCCAAGTGCTTTTTAAGTAGTGTCAACACAGTTGAAATACAATGATCAGGTCTGTGCTATAGGCACAACAATGAAACATGACCGGAGAACCGTGAAACAGCAATGCTAGCGTTAAAATTCAAAGTATCTAGGCTTTCAATTTACTGTTCTAAATGAATGTTCTGCAGTGATCTAATGTAGTAAAGACCTCCCACCTGCTTCTAATTTATATAAAAACAGATGTGCTTAATGACTCAGAACTGGATCTTGTCAGCTCCTTAAATCACCTATCCGTAGGGAAGACATAATTAACAGGTGACAGACCTGTATCACTAGAAAAGTTGGAGAACAAGTGTAGGAAATAATAAACCCTGAAATACAACTGTCAGTGAGCTTAGAACTTTTGCTTCATATTTCAACACAGCATGGGGGTAGGAAACAAGTCTTTAATAATGCCTTTTTAATTAAACATTTATGAAGTTTCTCCCTCTAACTGGAGTGTGGTCTTTTCTGATATCTACAAGTGTCAGGCACACTGTCAGACAGTTCAAATTGAAACCCAGATTTTAAACCCAAGATTATTTGGAGGGGGTTTTTGTTGTAAAAAACCATTAATTTAGAATCAAGGATTAGGAAGGCAGAAGAGATAGGATCTTCAAAAACACGATTTCCCATAAATAATGAAGACAGTGATACTGGAGCATTCAAGTTTAAACAACCCTTATTTCAACAACAAAAAAAAAAGTCACATTTTCGAGACCAACCTCTACAACTGTACTTGTGAGTTATGATTGCATTTTCCTACTTGTCATTGTAAAGCAGCCTAGAATTCATTCATGAGAGAAATGTGCATCATGTAATGATAAATTACTATCTCATTGTGATCCAATCTGAATTTATGCTAGAGTTTCAGACCTTGGACTTTTCAGGCCCCAATTATATAATCTTTGTAAATTTTCCAAGCATGTTTGTAGCACATAAAGCAATCACTCAATGTCTCCCACTAGCAAATACTGTGAAATTTAATTTGACTTTGATTCCCCAAGAGGGAATCTCACAGCTAGTTTTGATAACAGTCTCTTTTCAGTCTTCATGTATGTTAACAATTGTCCTTGGGATGCTGTCTCTCTGTGAAATGATCTCTGTTTTTGCAGATGCAGGCACCTACAGATATGTCTCTTTTCCCAAGTTGAGAGTCTGTTCTTTAACTAGATAGTTTGGTAGTGAAGACATTACTGGCTACCACCACAAGAATAGGCGTATAATATTGCATAGTTTCAAATACAGCCTAGAATTCATTCATTAGAGAAATGTGCATCATGTAATGATAAATTACTATCTCATTGTGATCCAATCTGAATTTATGCTAGAGTTTCAGACCTTGGACTTTTCAAACAGAATGGATTCTATCTTTTCTTTTTCCCCCCTTTAACTTGAAAGGAACAGAGCCAAAATGTAATGCACTTTTACCATCCGTGCAACTACAAATAGGCAGCATCAAAATAAAAACAAAATTTAAGTAGCGTTTGTAAAAAATATATTTGCAGTTGTTTCATTGTTTAAAACACAGGCACCTCTGACAGAGATGTCTGTGTCATATATATAATTTGAAATAATATTCTTGCTAACAAAAGTTAGTTATTACTGATGGACGGACAAAATTCTTTTGTTTTCTAAAAACGATCACCTGGTCATCTGCACAAGCATTTCCAGATTTAGTACCAGGTGCTAGCAACTTCTACAGATATTAAGGAACAGACCCCTTTAGGGCTGCAGACCCAAGAGTAGACATTTCTTCCAAATCAACAATCAGCCAGGTGCAGTTAATGCATACATAGCATGTAATTGAAACAGACTTCACTTAAAATATACTTCAGAATGGCTTGGACTACTACCTTTTCATGTGTGCATGAAAGAACGAGTCTGCTGGGAAGGTGAGGCTTTCTTATTTTAGCCAGCACAATAAGAGAATCATATACTGGGAAGCTTGGTGAAAGTATCAACAGTTGCTTTGATGCTCAGATTTTATACAGAACACAGCCTCCGATTTCAATAGTCACATAAATATACAATCCTCTTCTTCACATACAAGATGTATGTTTCCATATACAGACAAGTAAAACGTATGAGTGGAAGCAGGAATCAGAGTTTGATGTAAAGCGCTTCCGTCGCTTTGGTCATGGGTTGTGAGAAGAACTGCTGGTTGGGCCACAGGCCCTGCTTCGCTTTGAGATATGGGAGGTGGAGGTGGTGCCAGCAAACTGACTTGGCCCAGCAGCTGCAGGCGGCTGTTGGCTGAGAGGTCTTCCTGATTCTGGCTAATTAATGTAGGAGGCACAACATTCACTGATGCAGCCTGAACGATACTGTTAGTCTGAGGGACCTGGTGACCCACAATGATCTTGACCCTTCCCTCATTGTATGGAGAAACCTGAGCAGCCTGAAGTGGGACTTGGAGGTGGCTGACAGTAATCGGGGCACTGGTCTGCCGACTGGGATCCATCTGGAGCTGTAGAACAGCCAGTTCGTTATTTTTAGATCCATTATACATACTGTGCTGCTTCTTATGACTCCTAAGAGAATCTTCTCGCACAAAGGAAGCGTCACACAGGTCACACTTAAATGCTTTCTTGGCATCCAATTTGGCAACTTGCCTGGAGCCACCTTGCTTTGGCCTATCTCCTTCCTTCTTCTCCATACTTTGCTTCTTGGCCTTGACTTTGTCGCCATGAGCTTTCCTCACGTGAGTTGTCAGGTTGCTCCGCTGCTTGGTATCAAAGCTGCAGAACTCACACTTGAAAGGACGATCTTTGCAGTGAATTCGCTCATGCACTTTCAGAGCTGCCTTGTTGGAGCAAGAGTAGTTGCACTCCGAGCACTTCACTGGCTGTTCAGGCTGATGAGTTCTTATGTGGTGCCGAAGGCTTGTTTTGTTTCCACACTGAAACTCACACTCTGGACACTTGAGAGTATTTTCCATGCTGTGCTTGATACGAATGTGCGATTTCAAATTTCCTTTCATGGCACACCGGACCTCACAGAACTCACATTTGTAAGGTTTCTCACCGGAATGCACACGCATGTGCCTCTTCAAGTCTGAGTTGATTTTAAATTTAGCAGGACACATCTGACATTGGAAAGGAGCATCTCCTGTCAACAAAAACCACAGTTCAAATTACAGATGAGATACCAAGATCCATTGGACAGACCAATGCTACAATGAACTATGTACAGCTGACTTGGTCTAAATACCTGTAACATATTTTCAAGATGTAGAGAACTTTAATGGCACAGTACTTACTACCTGGTCTGGCGTATTTGTGTGCAAGCCCCCCAAGAGCTTGCCTGCCCACATCTGTTGCTTTTTCATGTCTGCATCTTAGATATTCTCCATTTTTAGTTCACTTTCTGTATAAAACTGTTCGGTGTGCCCCAGAGAAGAGACTGAAGTTTCTCATTTATCCCTTTCTAGCAACAGTGTATCTCAACTAGTGTTTAAAATTAATAAACACTGGAAATTTAACAGCTGCTATATTTTTGAAGTCAAAGAAAACAACATAAACACATCCATATTTTTGGTTTACACTACAAGATTTACAGGGAGGCTTGCAGGTTAACTGTAAGCCTAGGTAAATGGTAGGCTACTGCAGCAACAGCACCAGCTTTACTGCTCAACTATATAGTCGAGTTAAGTGAGCTGATGAGAAAAACTGATTACTTTTTTGGCCTGGCTGATGCGGTGCAGCACAAATACTATTGCTGGCACAGTAAGACAGTGGAAATTCTTGTCCAGAACACAGGCAGAGGTAGGGACAAAAGTCCATACCTAGGTCAGTGTAAGGTGACTGCACAACCACAGCATTACTACAGTGACAGGACAGGAGAGAGAAATAAAAAAAAAAAAAAAAGAAAAAAAAAAAGAAGGATCACAGCTACATAAATGCAACTGGAAAAGACAAATGTGAGACTAATGAAACACACATGCAAGTCTGTGACTCTAGGGAAATGCGCTTACACAGAGAAGTAACATTAAACTTTTGTTTTCCTGGCATTACAGCAATCAAGAAAGACATATTTGACCCATGTAGCACACTTAATAATGTTCCACAGATCACTTCAAGAAAATCTAATATCAGTTTGTATTCATGCAAGGAGGTACACAAAATATTCATAAGTCTGTGGTGGTCTTGGTTTTGTTTTTTATTTGTTTTGTTTTGTCTTTTTGGGGTGGGGTGGGGTGTGGGTGTTTGATTTTTTTTTTTTGAGAGCAAGGTTGATCCAGACACCTAACAATGTAGTTGAAAGTCAGGTCAAATTCTTAACTGATAAGGCATGAAAAATGAACACACTCATCTGCAAGATCTCTGTAAGCCTATTTATGTCTGACTACCTACATGAATAACCATTTGAATTGGCTGGATCTAAATCACTATTTTGCCTTTTTTTTTTTTTTTTTATTTGCAGACTTGTGTCACAATATGCACGATCAAATTAATCTGTAGCTCTGCTGAGTCCATAATCAATTCCAGGATAAAGACCAGTGACTTTGTTCTGAAGCCATTAAAAAAAACATCCAAAGCAAACCTATCAACCCAACTAAATAACTGTTCACATTCTTTCTTTAATCTAAATATATAGTTCTCTAAAGTGCCTGAGCATGAAGACTTTAGGTAGGTATCATTTTGAAAAAAGTGGAAGAATTGTGTTATTAGGTTCTTAGACACCCTTGGTGGGAGAAGGAAAGAGAGTGTACTTAGTTCAGCAAGCATTTATCTTCTTTAATAATCAAACTGCAAATGGCTGATTTATTTTATAAGTTAATATTTTATAGAGTTTGTGATAGCTGTATAATTTTGCATAATTTGCTTATCCAGCTACATACGTCATAGGTTTAGCTGCATATTTTTCAAATCAAGTTGTGGCCTACTGTGCTAATCCATGTATCTGTTTAATAATTGATATACATGGTGTATTATCTATATTAAACAGATTTTATTAATGAAGATGCACGGTTTATTCATCTAGTTTATTTTACAGTCTCAGCAGCACACTCAGCTACTGAATTTTTATCTACTTGGCACAGTACGTATTTCAATGACTTAATTTTCACATGCAGGGTAGCACCATATATGAAAAAGAATTAGTAATTTTACTGAATATAGCAAAGTATGTTTATTCTGTTTATTAAACGAGTGGTCCATTACTTATATTTCTTTACATTTCTGTCCATACATAATTCACACTGACAGAACAGAGCTTAAAAAACAAGAGTGTCTGATCCTGCAGTTATTAATTGTAAGAGCAGTTTTACTCAAATTAACAGGAAACTGATCTTTAGATGACTAGTTCAACAAGTAATGCTATGTAGATGATCTCACGCTGAGCAATGTAGATCGCACTCACCTTCTAGACAACTGATTTAATTCCAGTAAGCAATATATTCTACATACCTTACACTTTTCCCCTAAAATTGGCTGTGTGCGTAACAGCTTTGTAACCTAACAAGGATGAAAGGATTACTTTCAAAACACTTGTGCCTCCTTTCAGCGAATCAAAAGAAGTCCTTTTATGAAAGAAGATTTATTGTGGAGAAATGAAGAGGCAAAACTACAGCCTTGAATTTTAGCATAATTCAATTGCTTAAGATACAACAGACTGATCTGCTAAAAATAAAGAAGGTAGTATAAAAACCCTTCCCAACTCTTGCAAAATTTAATGCCACAAAAATCTAACTACTGGAAATACAGGAGAACCATAATCATTCATAGGTTCTCCCACAGCCAAATTCAGAGCATACCTGGCCACATACATAAATGCACAAGTATGCATGATCTTACATGACATGGGGAAAATGCAACACCGTATCCTCTGACTAGTGTGGTTACTAACAGATACCTTCTCACGATAACCCATACTATTTTGACTGACCATCACACCTTCTCATATAGCAACAGAAAGAAAGAAACTTGTAAAACAACTGCCTGACAGTCCTGCCTGTTCCATGACAGCAGATTTGTGAAGTATAAAAGATTCTTTTTCCGCTACAGACAGATTGGTTTAACCCTCCCCTCCTTCACAATGCACAAGGGATTTATTTCTTTTATCTACTCAAAATAAATCCCATCTTGCACACATCTGAACTAATGTTGTTTAGTACTTGAATTCAGAATCAGATGTAGGATAGGTTCAAAGCTAATCTAGTAATCACTGAACCATAACCACCTTGCAGCTAAAATTCACAGAACTAATCAAATGTATAAAAGACAACACAGAAACCAATCCAGTACCCGGGATTAGGTGAAAAACAACATACAAAGACAACTGTACAAAGACAGCTGTACAGCAGTATCTTTACAGCAAATCTGTTCTAGGAACAATCTATAAAAGAGAAATCTGATTAAAAGGAAACTTAGGGAAATAATGCAAATATAAAATGATACAGTGTTTATAAGACTGGAGGTTAAAGACTTCTATCCACAGACCAAAAATGATATGGGCAGAATGTAGTTCTGGCTGCTAGTATTTCACCATTAATGTCCATCAGTCTGCACATGGAAGGTGCCACAAAGAAAGGTCAAAAAAAGATGTAACTTGCTAATTTACTGATGGCAAGGAAAATTAAATTATGCAGCTGAGGTTTGCACTGATATAACTAGTTCAATTGTAAAATAATTTCAGTGCTTCTAATATAGTGGACCAGATCTGAGAGACAGAGACAGGAACCTAGATGCTCTTAATCAATCAATCAATAAATTAGATCTTTCAATTCTACTGGTTTAAGAACATCTAATAGGCAGTTTCAAAATCAATTTAGAAGAAAATCTACCAAGAGTCAGATCTGTCTTGATTGCTTCCAGGTTTTTTTAGTAGAGCTGTATTGCCCTACTAGATTCTATGCCCAAGAATTTCACAGAAGCTGGATGCCTGGGTGCTTTTAGGAATTCGGATAGGCCCTTTCTGGCATCTTGACACCAGTATATCTTTTAAAGTTTTCCCAATGACCTTCAAACATTGACAGATCTGAATTTTAGTATAAACTTACCTGTGTGGGATCTGAGATGCACAGTTAGCTGGCTAGAGTTGCGGCTTGCATAAGGACAGATCTGGCATTTAAAAGGACGCTCATTGGAGTGAATGCGCTGGTGCTTGTTGAGACTGCTGCTGTCAGCAGCTGCATAGTCACAGTGTTTACATTTGTAAGGCTTCACCCCAGTATGAGAACGCATATGCATCTTCAGCTTATCTTTACGACTAAAACATTTGTTACAAACTTCACATTTATGGGGCTTGTCTCCTGAAACAAACACAAGAGCATCAGGAATTTTTGCACCATAAGGATGTTGTTGCAATAAAAAAAAAATAATGCACTAAACACTTACTAGAAATGGGTCTAGTTTTCAGAAGTTGGACACTGGATTTCAGCAGCCATCCTATCAGCTAAGGACTCTTCTAAGCTCCAGGAGGCTGCACGTACAAGTGCAACAATTTTAGAAGACTCTTTGGAGCTTCCTCCCTTTATAACTTTGAAATTGTGGTTTGGGGGGAAGGGAGGTAAAATGTTGGAATCACCGTTTCCTATGAAGAACAAACCAGGTTTATGCACCACCACCACACTGTACCCTGATAAACACAGTGCCTGCACCTTGGAAATTTAATTGTGCCTTAAATAGATGCACAGTGTTCATGTTTCATTGCTGTGAGCGGTACTGCCCATAGTAGGACATGGATTATCCAAAAAGGGCAATTCTCCAGGCACAGAGAACTACAGACGTACATGTACATTCTATCTAATTTATCTATACATACATTATTTTCTAGGAAAATACCGTTTGGCAAAAAGCCAAAAGGAGGAAACCAACCAAAAATAAAATACAGCAACTACATAAACCTGTGTGTGTTCGCAGATGACGTTCCATATCCTTCATACCATAGGAAGTCTTGAACTGGCAACCTGAAAATGGTAAGATTAAGATCATTAAATTCAAGGAAAATCTAACAAAATAATAAAAATATACCACCATATTCTGGGCATTATGTTTCTTTTCAGGAACATTTTCTTTAAAATTCAGTATTAACAGAAAATGAATTCCCCACCTTGTTTACTCAAAGCTACTTAAAATAGTGACCAGTTTACGAACTTCAGTTTTCTAATGCTTCCTCTAGAAAGCAATTCTCTACACTACCATTTTCTGTAAGCTTTGAAAACCAGTTCTCTGGAATCTCTGCCCAGGATTTGAGATGCTTTTTACGGTACATAGGGGATGCTGAGGGAACTAATTAATTCCACATATGACTTCAAGTTAGCACAATTGGGAACTTGGGTAACAGCTCACCATTCAGGAACTTTGTCCAAGTGGAAAGCGCTACAGTTTTAGAGCACAGAGATGAACACTAGGCATTTGAAATGTGCCTTCCAAATCAAGGCAAGCTTGCAAAATGAGACTGTAATTTCTGCTACCATTAATATGATTACTCATCTACATGGCTGTCTCTGCACACATTTTCTGCATATTGCATGTTTTTTACTCATTAAAGTCTCCAAATACTTTGGTTCAATCCATCTTTATAAAAATATTAACTGACCAAAGAAAAAACATATAATGCAAAATGCACGTATAATATTTCTCATGTACAACAATAGCAGTTAGCAAAATGGTAACAACTCTGCTCTTACATTGCTGCAGTAAGTTTGCGCATAGACATTGGCCTATGTCCACACCTGCAGCATCGCCAGAGTATACCACAGTATAGGACCAACGTCCAAGTTCGTGAAATCAACAGCAAAACTGGTACTGGTACCAATGGTAGTACATCACACCCTTATTAAGTAGGCTGCATTCCAGGTTTTGCACGCCCTAACTGCTTAAGACAGACATAGCTACCACGCATATCACTATATGAAACCTATCAATTTTTGAATGGAAAGGAAGAAGGTATAGTCCGCATCTCACCTGGATAGCAGCAGCTTAGTTTCTTCTGTGTAAGTGAGGAATTGGATTTTCTTGAACGTGCTTTTGGTGGTGTAGAGACGACAGCAGCAGCTGGAGGCTCACTGCTCTCACTGGGCAGGTACGTTTGATAGCCATGCTCAAAAACAAACTCTGGTGCAGAAACTAAACACATAAGATAGTTTAATTTGAGAACATTAACTTCTCCAATCAGAAAAAGCTAATTATTTCCTGGTTTCATTAATTAATTCTCTATTCTGTTTTTTCCAGCAAAATTTCTGCTCCTGGCTTCCTATTCACCTGGGGGAGGGAGATAGGAGAAAGGCTTCTTCCTCCCTTGCTATTGTGATATAAATATTAGTGAAAACTCTGTCAAGACCTGAGGAGCCACGATGAACTGAGTACAACTCTACACAGGCCCACTTGTCTCCCTCTGAGTCCTATCTGACTGCACTGTTCAGTTTCTTCAGAAGTTCATTTTTTTTCTGATGCCTGTGTCCAGGTCTTACATTAATAAAGGTATATCTGTTTTTCAACACTGGCTGTCCTACAGCCCAAAGGAGAAAAAACTCGAATTATTTATATAGCAAATGTTGTCAAAAAGGCATCATGTAAACAATTTTTTAAAATTGTTAAAAAAGCTCAGCCTCTTTCAACTGTACTGTTTTTAGCTTGTTACTCACAAGAATAACAGGTGAAACTATCTCAGCCAAAGTAGCAGCTTTTAAATCAATTAAGCAACGCTATACCCCAAAAGGGCACACGGATTTAACTGCCCTCATTTTAAAGATGAGTAAATGTGAAGCAGAAAAGTGACTCACCCAAACCCCACACCAAGTTAAGGGATTATAATAAAAAGATTCCTGGAAGTGAGCCCTGAATTCAGTTTGTTTCACTGCTCTTCCTGTTTCTCTGCCCTAATCTGTCTATCCAAATTAAAGTCAAATAATTTGGATTTTAGTAAAGTCCCAGACCAAAATAAAATAAAACAAAACTATATATAGAAGGGCAAACCTTCACACACGGAACAAAATTCTAGTTTTATTTAAGTGTCTGCAGGATCAGGACCTCACTTGAGCCTTCGCACAGGCAGAAATTTTGAGTAATATTTTTCCTGCCAATTAGTTGTGGGAGCAATGTTAGGGAATGCAGTGTTCTCACATAAAAAGGCCTGGATTGGCGCCTGACAGCAATTCTGTGTCTGTTTTTCATCAAGGGCACTCTTAAAAAATAAAATGCATAGTAATTGGCTTATTTTTCATAAGTATTGACAATTTTAATTAGTTTGCACAAGTTGGTTATACAACACATTAGACCTGAGCAATTCTCTCAGTGAAGTTGCTAATGGAGATGCAAGTACCTGCCGTCATACCAAAACCAAGAAGGCGGCACACCACTGCTTTTTTTCCTTCCTTTGCTTGCAGGTATGTGACGACTAATGCGAAAACTGTTATTTTAGCTTAGCCTGGTGGGGACACACAAGCAGAGGGCTGCGTAACGTTGCCACTTTGCATGAGTCGAGCACTTTTGAGCTCTTGGGATGTAACACCAAAATACCTGTAATGGTTTGGGTCTCCGAAGCGATGGTCCTGGTCGTGGTTTGAGCCTGTGTCGATGGCACTGTCTCTTCCGACACAAACTGGACCGTACTGGTGGCCCCGGCCGTCGCACTAGTGAGCTGGCAACCGCTTTGCTTGTGCCCGACGAAGGCATCGAGGTTATTGAACTGCTGCTTGCAGATGCCGCAAATGTGGATGTCGGGGGTGAGCTCCACCAGCACGGTGGTGCCGCCGGGAACTGCGGAAACAGGCGCGGGGTCAAGAGCTCGTCCTGAGGGAACGCAAACGGCTCAGGCCGCGCAAAGTGACACACGGACATCCCGCTGACCGAACGCGGGGGAGCCCCTCTGGGAGCCCCTTCGGGCCTAGAGCTGCGGGGGTCCATTAGGGCGCTGCGGGACCCCCCGGGGCCGGGCCGCGGGGCTGAACGGGCCGCCCGTGCCCCCGGGCACGCTTCCC